GTTAGTGTACCTTGTTAGCTAATGTTAGCTAGCTGACATTAACGTTACACATTGCACTCATATTACTCACCGAAACCTTGTAAAGCCGGTCCCGCATGCTGGCTCTTACAGAACCGACTAACTCCCCTTTCATATAGGTACAGCTCTCAACGTGCCCAGACTTGTAGTGATTTTCACCTCGTAAAATACTTTTATTCTCATTCTGAAAGAATGTGGTGAAATGTGCTAACGTGACGGCCATCTTTATGTTGGTGACGCGTATTGTGCGAGACGAGAGACCTGTAGTTCACTGAGCGGTTTCACACGAAAAAATGTGTAACTTCACAGTTTTACGACACATTTTTATTTTTTTGACTTGCAAAATGTTCTTTTAAATTGACAAACATCATATGTGTCATTCGTGGCACAATTCAAACGGGATCAAAAGATAACCTTTCTCTCTCCATTGACTTCAATGTATAATTTTCCGCTTCCGGGGTCCCATGGAGGCTTTCGGAAGGGGAGGGACTTCGCCTCTCTATACAGTCTGTCTTCCGGTTGCCTCTTTTGAATGATGATTACACACTACCGCCGCCTGCTGGTAAGGAGAGTTATTGCCACTCACGCATGCGCAGTTCATACGTGCTACTTGGCCGTTGGCTGAAGTATTTGCGGTGTGTTCCAGTGTGACTGTTGGCCAAGACGCAGAGACGCGAGGCGACACAACAGTCGTGTTCCGTCGGGACGTGCTCTTTGGTGTCAGCTTGGTGTGTCTGGGCCTTAAGACGCTTAGGATAAAAGCGTCTAACAAGTGACATGTAATGTAAAAACCAATGGCATCAACTGTTAGCATTAGTTCTTGTAACATTCCTAAATACACTGCAAACTTTGTAAACTTTTTTTTAAAGTGACTTGTTTGTTTTCATTTGTTCATTCTATTTAGGTGGGAGAAGTACTCAGAACTTGTACTCAATTACAAGAGAGTGTAGGAATAGCCCCGCAACGTCCCCCCAACACGGCACCCAGACCCCACGCAGTATTCTCATCTGTTTGTCATTGCTGGTATCATTTTCTGGTTGCTAACGCCATTGTAACACATAATCACTGATGTTCCGCTGTAACGGTGGTGGACTCATCAGAACAGAGTGGGCGAGCTGACCAATCAGAGCACACTGGGCTCACAGGGAGGGGGGGGGCAGGAGCTCCAACAAGCTGTTTAGGACAGAGAGTGAATACTATACAGAGATGCTGTATGAGAAACCAATGTGAGTTTGGAACATTGCACAATGTAAATATATTCTAGTACAGAGGTACTCAAACTTTTTTGTTAAAGGTCCACTTGTGAATTGTATACAAGGTCAATGGTCCGGATCAATGCCAGTAAAGCCCCCCCCCCCCACCCCCGGAGTGGATAATTGAAACTGAAATTAAGAAGCCGTTTCGGGGCGCTATGCATGGGGCCCCCCCAACTGTCGTTGTAGTAAATTAAAGGGTGTTTCATGTTGTCGTTGCTGTGGACCTTCTTAATCTTTTTTTATGTTTTTTTATTTTTATTTTGAAATTGTTACGTTTATTCTTGTTTATTTTGTGTTTGTATCTTTTATTTTACATTTATTTATTTAATGTTTTTGTGAGCTGAGCTGTGTGATTTTATATTGTATGTATCTCTCTGTACAGCATTTTGGTTTGGAGGTTTTAAAGTGCTATATAAATAAAGTTGGATTGGATTAATCTACTGTTAGAGTTTATTGAAGGATAAACGTGTTTTCATAATATGTTGTCATTTTATGTTGTAAAGAGACCATAGTCAGAAAAGAGGAACAGAGAATAGTCTGTTCCCCTTTTCTGTGGACCATACACACACACACACACATGATTGCGAGTCACAAGACAATTGACAAATTGTCAATTGCCATTGACAAATAAAGCCATTGGTTACATACACTTCCTCATGCATGATTTGTAACTGTATTTTTGTAATAAAGAGACTGCACTGAGAGAAGAGGAGCAGAGTTGGTTTTGGAGTTGACATGACCTGTCACTCGCTGATTCTCCTTGCAGCAAGTAAACTTGAAACTCGAGTACTGTTATCTTTGTTCACTGGGTTTTGGTATATTTGAACCGAGCTGGGGTTTACTCTTACAAAGTAATATAGAAATACCCAACATTAATTGGTCCTTCGGAGCCGGAATCCAACACATCGTGACGGGAAGGAGGAGGGAAAAGACACGCCGCAAGTCTGTCGACAGCCGGGATCATCAGCCGACCCCGAGAAAGACCCGGGACGCAGAATTCGTGGCCGGGCCGGTGCTTATATGTCCAACCTCCCTCATCCTCGGCACGATTGACGGAATCCAACCGGACCAGTGACCACAGATAACGGGTAAGATAAAAGTTGATATACATGGTTTCTCCACCATTTAAGGAGGTAGAGAAAGGCTTCTCCGCCATTTAAGGAGGATTGACGTGTCTTTGGGTACACTTATGAGAAAGGTTTCTCCACCATTTAAGGAGGTAGAAATTGACGTGCCTTTGGGTACACTTATGAGTGATTGAGTGAAAGTAGTGTGTAAAAGTGTCACCAGGTGGAATCAGCGCACAGAGTGGAAACCTAACGGTGATAACAAAAACTCTGTGGTCTGTTGAAGTACACTAGTGGTGAATTAGGAATTAGGTTCTGACCGGCACGTTGTCCAGTAGGAACACAAAGCTAGAATAATGGGGTCCAATGGGAGTAAGCCTGCCGCTACAGGGGACATGAGATATATGGAAATATATAGTCATGGCAGCACCAGTTATTGTAGCAAATGGTATAAACTGTACGGCTTCCGAGGAAAGTTGGAGAAAACAGCAGTAAGAGAATTAAGCGACAAATTGAGAGCAGAAACAGCTGGAACAACACAAGGCAAGAAAAGAAAGAAGTTAGAAGCTCAACTGCGAGTCGCAGCTTTATGGGCTGAACAAGCCCATAAAAGGAGCAGGCAGAGGCAGAGGAGGAGGCAGAAACGCAGAAGGCAAATTCCTCTGCTACAGGTGCGGAAAGGAGGGGCACATGGCGAGGGACTGTGAGGAACAGATGTCACAGATAAAAGAAGGGGGACAAAAGGGACAGTACAAAGACGAAAGACATGGCCCCCCCCCTTCACATAACCTACATAGTTATGACAACTGACTAGACGTAGAAAAGGAAGAAGAGGACGTCCACACACATCACATTGACCTTTCTGAAGTATTACTGAATCTGTCAGACAACAGTATTAAACCTACCAGAACAATCGAAATCAATGGGGAAAAATTAGAATTTTTATGTGACAGCGGTGCAGACTCATCAGTAGTGAACAAAGAGGTCCAAAGAATGTGGCCACCAACTGGCACTATGTTTGTAAAATCAGCAAATGGACACATAAATCAGAGGTCGATTTCAAAGCCACTTTTTATGGAAGATAGAAGGTCAGGCCTCCAGGCATCCCTCAAATTTGTGTTCATCTCAAACTGCCCTGTCAATTTGCTAGGGAGAGACGGCATGGAAATGTTAAAAATCAGTGTAGTACCAGTCAAAGGGGGAATGCGAGCAGTAGGGCCCGGAGAAAAGGTGGAAGACCAGGTCTTCCTTCAAAAATCCATAAACACCCCCAACTACTACTGGTCACTAGACATGCCACAACCTGACGTGACAAACACAGGTGAACACCTGTTAACGCTATTCACCCCACAACATGGCCAAGAAGTAATGAAACCTGACGCATTGCACGTTACACTAAAGTACAAGAACACCCCTGGCCCAGACAAAGACTATGATGTGCTCGTGCATCGACTGACACCACAGAGGGTAGTGTTCCACTCGATGTATGCAAACCAACACGGGGATGTTGTAATTGACGCTAGGGTCCCATCAACCACTGCCTTGATAATGGAACCAGGTTCCACGCCACACATATCAGTAGCTAGGGGCCCAGGGACTTCATGGAGAGACTTAGGTTTATTAGTGGCTAGAGGTAACAGGATAACAAAATGGACAGATGACAAAAACGGTTGGCAAACTGGAGGCGGGTTAAAGCGCAAAACTCTAGGGTTTACTCTAGTGATGACACCACGCGCCCACCTAGACGACCCTGAACAACAATGATGTATGCTAAGTGAAGAGGCCTTAGAGGTCCTGAAAACGGTGCCGCCATGCGTATGGTCACAAGGAAAATGTGATGTAGGTCGCATGGTGAACGCAAAACCTGTACACGTTAGACCAAAAACTAACTACAGACCTAACATAAGACAATACCCCTTAAAAGAGGATGCAAAAGTTGGCATCAAACCTGTAATTGAAGAAATGCTAAAAGCAGGGATCCTGCGTGAGTGCCCTGATGCATCATGCAATACCCCCATCTTCCCAGTAAAAAAGGCTGATGGGCAGTCATGGAGAATGATTCAAGACTTAAGAGCAGTAAATGATGCTGTACAAAGCACAGCCCCAACAGTACCAGATCCACACACGTTAATGAACGGCCTTAAGCCAAATATGGCATGGTTCTCAGTGATAGACTTGAGCAATGCCTTTTTCTCCATTCCTGTAGAAAAAGACTCACAAGGATGGTTTGGGTTCACACATGAAGGAACAAAATACACATACACCAGATTACCTCAGGGGTATGTGGATAGCCCAACAATCTTTTCACGAGAAATAGCAAATTGTTTGGCTACATTACAGATACCTGACACATCGCAGATTTTGGTATACGTAGATGATATTCTTGTTGCGTCACCCACACAGGAAGAAAGCACAAAAGTCACACTACAAGTATTGACACATTTGGCCAAAACAGGAAACAAGGTTTCAAGACAGAAACTTCAGTTTGTGAAAGAGGAAGTGATCTTTTTAGGCCACAATTTAAACCGAGAAGGGAGACGCATACACTCAGAGAGGAAACAGACGGTGTTAAACGCACCAAAGCCAACAACAAAAAAACAAATGATGCAATTCCTTGGGCTGACTAACTATTGCAGAGCATGGATTCCAGACAACGCAGGAATGACTCAGCCCCTACTAGATTGCATATACTCAGACAATGACATGAAAATGTCCGGCAAGATAGAATGGACACAAGAGGCAGAAGCTGCATTTGAAAGGACTAAACAGTGTCTCGTAGGGTCATCAGTGTTAGCATTACCAGACTATGAAAAACCATTTGTACAAACAGTTGACTGCAAAAAAGGGTTTATGACATCAGTATTGGCACAAAAACACGGCACAAAACTAAGGCCTGTCGCTTACTACTCTAAAAGGTTAGACCCAGTAGCACAAGCATTACCAGTATGCGTACAAGCAGTATGTGCGGCAGCAATGGCGGTACATTGTACAGCAGAAATAGTTTTGTTCCACCCACTCACACTGATGGTTCCACACGCAGTCACCATGTTGTTACATGACACCAAAATGGCTTTCTTATCACCTGCACGTTATTTGGCACTGACAGCTACACTAATGTCACAACCACACATTGTGATAAAAAGATGTAATATCTTAAATCCAGCCACATTAATACCTACAGCAGAAGATGGAGAACCACACTGTTGTAAAGAAGAGACTGACAGAACATGCAAACCAAGACCAGATTTGAAAGACATACAACTACTCAGTGGCGAAACATGGTTTGTGGATGGGTCCTGTTCTAAATCTATAACAGGCCAAAATCAAACAGGGTTTGCAGTTGTATCACACTCACAGGTCATAAAAGCAGGCCGACTCCCCCACACATATTCTGCACAAGCAGCGGAATTAGTAGCTCTTACAGAAGCATGCAAAGCGGGGGTTGGAAAAGATGTGACTATGTGGACAGACAGCCAGTATGCGCACTCAACAGTACATATATTTGCAGCCCAATGGGCCCGCAGGGGCATGAAAACATCAACAGGAAAACCAGTCACCCATGCACAGCTGCTGACTGATCTTTTAAAAGCGGTGTTGTTGCCGAAAAGCATTGCTATATGCAAATGCGCTGCGCACACCAGTGGGAAGGATGCAGTAACACTTGGCAATGCACACGCGGATAAGGTAGCGAAGCTAGCAGCTATGGGCGAATATGGGTTCCATATCCTCTTGCAGAAGGGGGAAAGTGTTTCACAACCAATACCTCTTGTGATATTAAGGGATATGCAGAACAACGCACCCGACAGAGAAAAGAAGAAATGGTTGACAGATGGAGCAACCACAGACCCTGAGGGAACATTCAGAATAAACAACAAGATAGTACTCCCTGTTAGTCTCTACAAAACAGCAGCTCATTTGAGTCATGGGCCGTGCCATGTCTCAACAGGAGGGATGGTGACAATAATAAATGAACATTTCCATACATACAACTACATTACATTTTCTAAAAACTTTTGTAGAGCCTGTGTAGTATGTTGCAGACACAATGCTCAAGGCAATGAGCGACCACAGAGAGGAAAGTTCCCTCCACCAACATACCCATTTCAACACATGCATATGGACTTCATCGAACTAACACCATGACAAGGGTACAAATACTGTTTGGTAATGATATGTCCGTTTTCAAAGTGGGTTGAAATATTCCCAGCAAAACATGCAGACGCTATTACCGTAGCAAAAGCCATATGCAAGACAATAATACCAAACAGAGGTATTCCAGAGAAACTGTACAGTGATAATGGGTCTCATTTTGTAAATCAGGTTATTACCAAACTGTCCGAACATATGGGGATAACATTAAAAAACCATTGTGCATATCATCCACAGAGTGCAGGCTTAGTGGAAAGAACAAACGGAACAGTAAAGTTAAGACTAAGGAAAACAATGGAGGAAACAGGAAGACCATGGGTGGAATGTGTGTCTCTGGTAGAAACATGCATGAGAATCACGCCCACGGCAAAAGGGTTGTCTCCCTTTGAGATCATAACAGGAAGGCAATTCAGACTACCAATCACAGACGAGGTGAGGGAGGAGGATGATGCTGAGGCAGGGACTACATTAGCTGAATGGATGAGCAGACTCTTCAGAAGCAATGAGATAGCTCGAACAAATAACCTGCCAGACATTTCTACTCCCTTGCAGGACACTCGAGTGCAGACTGGTGACCAGGTCCTCGTGAAGGTGATTAAGAGGAAGCATTGGCACTGTCCACGGTGGGACGGTCCCTACACGGTACTGCTGACAACACCGACTGCACTAAAAATCGCCGAAAGAACTACGTGGATACATCAGAGCCACTGCAAAAAGATAATACCTCTCCAACTTAACGATGGATAAGTGGTGGAAGTCCGGCTACAAAGGGCGGTGTTTCATTAGGAAATACTGGTCTCAACCCCGGTGAAGAAAACAACAGAACCACTATCACAAATAGACTATGTTGGGAAAGGTGTTGTTTGTAGTGACCCTGCTGGGTCTGACGCTAATGACTATAAGACAATTGAGTGAGGAATCCTCAACAAAAAAAAAGGTCCATCGAGAGAAAAAATGGTCATTACTCAACGATGACCCATGGAACCACAACGACAAAACTGCACGCTCACCTAGGATGACAAATGCCTGGTATGCCTATGTCCATCAACTTGTTACAAAGACAGGGCGTTCAAATTGTTATGTTTGTTCCCACATGCCATGGTCAACTGGACAAGTAACTCTGTATGGTAAAAGGATGAGTAAATCACAAGCTAAATGTTTTGCTACCATGGGAGGTGTAGGATACCAGCACTCAGGGATAAAAGTCAACGATGTGAATCCATATGCCCCAGGTTTAAGCAATGGCACTTGTAATAAGATATTTTGGGTGAACTTTAACATGACAGTGCCACGTAAAATGACAGGACAAAAGGTAGTCATGCCAAATAATGAAGCTATACACCCTATGTGTTACAGTCAGACAGAAGGTTCTGTACCAATGGGAAACACCACTGGTTGTAACCAGACACTTGTTAATGGCGAAGGGGCTCCAGTCTATTTGAGCAAACAATCTAATGGTACATGGTGGGTACAAGGAGGATGGTGGCTGTGTGGCAACAACGCTTATCCAGTTCTGCCAATAAATTGGACAGGCACGTGCGCACCAATATTTGTTAGCGACCACACCTTCGTGATAGACATAGAACCACACCTTAACCACACCCGCAGGAGGAGAAATGCCATGCCTGCCTTCAAAAAACATGATTCAGTATGGGGAAAAGATGTCCCTGATGAATTCAAACACTGGTCCACCAGTGGAAAGGTAATATTAGCATTGACTCCTGCCTTAGGCGTAGCGAAGAACATGTTGAGACTCGAAACCCTTGATTACCGGTTCGGCATGTTTGTAAATAATTCCATCGTTGTAAACGAACAACAGAACCTCGAACTAGACTCACTCAGAACCATGGTGCTACAGCACCGCATGGCCCTTGATCTACTCACTGCCTCAGTAGGAGGTACGTGTATCCTTTTGAACACAATCTGTTGTACATATATCACCGACAATGTCCACTCCCAAAACATGACAGATGCAATGGCTACTCTCAAAGCCCTACAGACAGCTATGGGCCAAGACAGACATGCCTCTCTTGAGACCGGATGGTTCAATTGGCTACTCTCAGGGAGCTGGGTTCAAAAGCTCGTGATGGGATTTGTTGCAATCATATGTGTTGTCATCCTTGTGTGCTGTGCTATGGCTTGTATTATACCATGTGTTAAAGCTATGGTTGGTAAAATAGTTACCAACACTCTTGTCCAATATACGATGTTGCAACAGACAGATAACGATGACTATACTGACACAGACCCCTCTCAGAAGGACGAATATACTCACCTAACCTCCAATGTGTAAGACTTAAAGCTAGGTTACTGTCTGTCATATGACGAATGGTTCGAAAATGTCAAAAACAAGTGAATTAATTCTGAAAGTAATAAAGACACTGTAACCAGCTAGTAATTATGAAAAACAGGAGGGAATGTTAGAGTTTATTGAAGGATAAACGTGTTTTCATAATATGTTGTCATTTTATGTTGTAAAGAGACCATAGTCAGAAAAGAGGAACAGAGAATAGTCTGTTCCCCTTTTCTGTGGACCATACACACACACACACACATGATTGCGAGTCACAAGACAATTGACAAATTGTCAATTGCCATTGACAAATAAAGCCGTTGGTTACATACACTTCCTCATGCATGATTTGTAACTGTATTTTTGTAATAAAGAGACTGCACTGAGAGAAGAGGAGCAGAGTTGGTTTTGGAGTTGACATGACCTGTCACTCGCTGATTCTCCTTGCAGCAAGTAAACTTGAAACTCGAGTACTGTTATCTTTGTTCACTGGGTTTTGGTATATTTGAACCGAGCTGGGGTTTACTCTTACAAAGTAATATAGAAATACCCAACATCTACCTTCTTTGGGGGCCCCCTTCTGGTCCAAGCACTTGCCTGTCGGTAAACGGCGCCCCTGTATATTACACACACACACACATTCAATACATACAGTATGATGGCCTGAACTAGTGGGAGAAATGGCACTGTTTGTCTGTAGCCAATGCCTTGAACCTCGGCAAAAATTGCATTAGAAGCATTAGAAAGTACAAAGGTAAACTTGCGGTTAACTTGCGCTCTGCAATGTGTACGCTCACGCACACAAGTAAATATATATGCCCGTTCATTCTTACAACGCGTCGGCCACAAGAAAATATACATTAATTTACATCAGAATTTTTATTTTGTTTTAATAATGGGACACAGGGTTCGGTCCGAATTGATTTGCAGTTCGGTCCGGATCCGGACCTTGGTCCGGAGTTTGAGAAGCCCTGTTCTAGTAGACCTCAACAATGGAATTATGATCAGTAGACATGGCCATGACAGGCTCAGGGTTTAACCTGTTAAACCCTGAGCCTGTTTTTCAGGTCTCAGGCTCGAAAATGACATTCCCAGAACAAATGACTATATCTTCCCTTTTAAAAGAAAAAACAACGCAGCTAACTTCCTGGTTTTAGGACGAGTCACTGGCTGCACCTCTCAATATGATGCCATTATAAACAAGGTCTTCTGTCGGCTCTGTATGTGCGATTAATTTGCGATTGATCGCGATTAAATATTACATTACATTACATTGCATTTAGCTGACGCTTTTATCCAAAGCGACTTACAATAAGTACATTCGACCAGGAAGACACAACCTTGAAGAAAACAGAATCATATAAGTACATCAGGTTTCATAGAGCCAAACATTTCAAGTGCTACTCAACTGGCTTTAGGTAAGCCAGTCCTTTATTAGTATAAAAGTGCTTCGTTAATAGTTCTAACGCTCGAAGTGGAGTCGAAAGAGATGAGTTTTCAGTTTGCGCCGGAAGATGTTCAAGCTATCTGCCGTCCTGACGTCAATGGGGAGCTCATTCCACCATCTTGGAGCCAGGACAGCAAACCCACGTGTTTTCGCCGATGGGAACTTGGGTCCCCCTCGCAGCGAGGGCGCAACGAGTCGTTTGGCTGATGCAGAGCGTAGTGCACGCGCTGGGGTGTACGGTTTAACCATGTCCTGGATGTAGGAAGGGCCAGATCCATTCGCAGCATGGTAAGCAAGTACCAGTGTCTTGAAGTGGATTCTAGCAGTTACCGGAAGCCAGTGAAGGGAGCGGAGGAGCGGAGTGGTGTGGGAGAAATTAGGAAGGTTGAAGACCAGACGAGCCGCTGCATTCTGGATGAGCTGCAGAGGTCGGATGGCACATGCAGGTAGACCAGCCAGGAGGGAGTTGCAGTAGTCTAGGCGTGAGATGACGAGAGCCTGGACCAGAACCTGAGTCGCTTTCTGAGTCAGCTGGGGACGTATCTTCCTGATGTTGTAAAGCGTGTATCTGCAGCAACGGGTTGTAGCAGCGATGTTTGCAGTGAAGGACAGGTTGTTATCTAGGGTCACACCCAGATTCCTTGCAGTCTGAGTCGGGGAAACAACTGAGGTGCCGATGTTGATTGTCAGGTCAAGAGTGGGACAATCTTTTCCCGGGAGGAAGAGCAGCTCAGTCTTGTCAAGGTTGAGCTTGAGGTGGTGAGCAGACATCCGCTGAGAGATGTCAGCTAGACAAGCAGAGATGCGTGCAACGACCTGGGTCTCTGAGCGGGGAAAGGACAGAATTAATTGGGTGTCGTCAGCGTAGCAGTGGTAAGAAAAACCATGCGGGCTAATGACTGATCCGAGCGAGTTTGTGTACAGGGAGAAGAGGAGGGGACCAAGAACAGAGCCCTGAGGGACCCCCGTAGTTAATTGACAAGGGTCGGACTCAGACCCTCTCCAAGTCACCCTGTAGGTACGGTCTTTCAGGTATGAGGTGAGGAGGGAAAGTGCAGAGCCTGAAACTCCAAGTTTTTGGAGAGTGCGAAGGAGGATCTGATGATTCACCGTGTCGAATGCAGCAGACAGGTCCAACAGGATGATGACAGAGGAGAGGGATGCAGTTTTGGCAGTGTGCAGTTCCTCCGTGACAGCAATGAGAGCAGTTTCTGTGGAGTGACCTGCCTTGAAACCAGACTGGTGCGGATCCAGAAGGTTGTTCTGATTGAGATAACAGGAGAGTTGTTTAAAGACAGCGCGTTCAAGTGATTTAGACAGGAACGGGAGGAGAGAGACAGGCCTGTAGTTTATAACATCAGACGGGTTGAGAGTGGGTTTCTTTAGGAGATGGTTTACTCTTGCCTCCTTGAGACTGTTTGGAAAGTGACCAGAAGTTAGAGAAGTGTTGATGAAATGGGTGAGAAACGGTAGAATATCAGGAGCGATAGTCTGAAGGAGGTTTGAAGGGATAGGGTCCAGAGGACAGGTGGTAGGGCGGGCAGAGGTAATGAGGGTAAGAACCTCACTTGGAGAGAGAGGGGAAAAGGAGGTAAGTGTGTTGGTGGAAGGAGGGTCTTGTGACCCAGCGGTGAGTAAAGGTGAGTCAGAAAAAGAAGAGCGAATATCATCAACCTTTTTTTCAAAGTGGGTAACAAAGTCGCTTGACAGAAGTGAGGAGGGGGAGGAGCTTTTGGAGGGTCCAAGAGGGTGGAGAAGATGGAAAATAGTTTTTTAGGATTGGAATAGGAAGATTGGATCTTATCTTGAAAGAAAGTGCTTTTTGCCTGAGAGATCGAAGCAGAGAAAGAGGAGAGGAGAGCTTGATAGGTTAGGAGGTCGTCACAGTGTTTGGATTTCCACCATTTCCGCTCTGCTGCCCTAAGGGCGGTTCTATTAGCACGCAGTGCATCATTTAGCCAGGGAGCAGGAAGGGACTGACGAGCCTGCCGAGATGTGAGAGGACAGAGCGAGTCCAGAGTGGATGAGAGAGTAGAGAGGAGAGTTTCTGCAGCAGAGTTTGGAGGCAGGAGTTGGAACGAATCAGAGGAAGGGAGGGCTGAGAGCACCGACGAGGCAAAGGTAGAGGGGGAGAGGGAGCGAAGGTTACGGCGGACAAGTGCAGGATGGGAAGAGATTAGTTTGTTATGTTTGGAAAGGGATAGAGAGAATAAAATTAAGAAGTGATCGGATGTGTGGAGCGGGTTTACAGAGAGGTTAGAAGTAGCGCAGTTCCTTGAGAATATGAGATCAAGGACATTGCCAGCTTTATGAGTCGGTGGGGACGGAGACAGTGAGAAAGCAAAGGCGGTTAACAGAGATGTTAGTTCGTCTATCTTCCCCGTCTGGAGGTTGAAGTCTCCGAGAAGTACAGCGGGAGGGCCAGTTTCAGGGATGAGTGAGAGGAGATTATCTAATTCCTCCAAGAAGTCCCCCAAGGCGCCTGGTGGACGGTAGAGAACAACAATGGTTAACTGTATAGGATGGGTTACTGTGACGGCATGGAATTCAAAGGTGGAAGGAGTGAAGTTAGGTAGCTTGAAGAGGGAAAAGCTCCATTTGGGAGAGAGCAGGACACCAGTGCCACCTCCTTTGCCAGTGGGTCTGGGTGTATGGGAGAAGGAATATGCAGTGGAGAGAGCTGCTGGGGTGGATGTGTTGGATGGAGTAATCCAGGTCTCAGTGAGAGCAAGGAAATCCAGAGACTGCAGGGAGGCGTAGCCAGAGATGAAGTCAGCCTTAGGAACAGCTGACTGGCAGTTCCACAGGCCACCTGAAACTAGATGTTGGATCTCAGTGGAGCATGTGGGATAGACGAGAGCAGGCCGGTTATATCGATTACGAGATACACGGGGCCAGTGATAATTGCGAGAAGACACATGAACAGGAATGGAGAAAATACACATGACTATAGCATGAGGGGCTAAACAACAAAATAAAATGAAACAAAATAAAAAAATAAAAACACCAGCGATACTTAGCTCAATCAAAGTAGGATTTGCCTCCTCTTTGCCTCCCTCGTGACTCCTGTAGGACTCCAATGTCTTTGTCAGTCTTACTCCCGCAGGACTCCAATGTCTTTGTCAGTCTTACTCCCGCAGGACTCCAATGTCTTTGTCAGTCTTCGGCTGTCTGACGCTGAAGCTGACGCTCCAGGAAAGAGCTACCTAAAATGGACGCCTGATTGCTCAGTTCTCACAGCTGTAGGGGCACGCCCCTCTAATTAGTTAACTATCTACAGCTGATGGGCGACAATAGACTGGCCCTGCCTATATTAATAATGCAGGCTTGAGTGCTGAGACCTGTGAAGCAGGTTTCGCCTGAGCAGATCTGAGATTTAAAATCTCTCAAAAGCGATTTAGCCGTTTAAGCTACAATAACAATTATACAGAGTCGAATAAATGAAACCGAGAAGTCTAATTAAACAAGAATATAACTTACAGTGGTTGCTGCGTCAATAGGTAATGTCGTCACCGGGTCCAGATGCACACTGAGTTCATCAGTTTTTAAATGCGGTATTTAAATGCTTTTTTAGCTAAAAGATGACTGAGTCACGCGGTTCTACTTCACGCAATCAATAGACTGGCCCTGCCTATATTAATAATGCGGGCTTGTGTGCTGAGACCTGTCATTCCCAGAACAAATGACCATATCTTCCCTTCTAAAAGGGTTACATTAATAATCTTTTTGTGAGTTGGATGTAGAAAAGTCAGAATCAATATAGATGTTTTTTATTTTAAAGAAAATTCAGATTGAACATAGTAAAAAACTGTAAATTATAGTGTCCGTCCAAAAATTATTTTTTACTTATAGTGGACTACCCTTGGATGATGGTAAGGTAGACTAAAAGCTTTAGGAATCCAAAGTACAACATTTAATAAGTACCCTGTATCAAGATTGATGCAAAACAAATGACATTTGACCTTTTTAGAGAGGTTTAACAAAAAAACTCCACTCTGAGGTGATATGGGTGGAAATG